GTGAAGGATGTAGACACTGTGATATGGAGACAAAGTTTCACACAGAGCTTGAACACAACACTGTGACACTCAAAGTCAATCAGGTAGCCAAGTGAGTCACAAAGTGACTTACAGACAGGCATGCTGGACACTGTGGACAGACCAGACAGAAGGATGACTCATGCCTTAGATGAGAGGGGGTGAGATGCATGAATTGTTTATTTCTGGAATTTTCCATTTGGTATTTTCTACCATGGTTAGCCAAAGAAAGCTGGAACTATTGGAAATGAAACCACAGGAGGGACAACCATGCTGCACACTCAAACACCCAATCTCCAGTTTTCCTTTTAGCGTTGTTTCCTGTATTCGTTGTAGTACAGAGTGTCTTGTTATTTTGTTTTCGATGACCTTTTGAACTGTTGTCCAACCCACCACATGAATTATTTTTCTTTACTCAATTATGCAACAGATTTCAGAAAAGCTGCTGGGATTTCATTTAGAGTTGTCTTACTTAACAAATTCATATAGGACTATTCTTGTCTTGGTAATTCTGAGTATTTCTACCTCTTGACATGACATATCATCTCTAAACATCTTGTTGGTATTTGTTAATAACTGCCATACCCATGCAATTTGGACTGGTAGTATGAATCATATATTCTCTATAATTTCCTCTTGGGCATTACTTTTATAAAGAAATATTTTAAGATCAAGATATATAAAAAATCAAAAGTGTTTCTAAGAAAAGCAGTACTCAAGAAGAACATATAAAAATATATTATTCAAATCAGCAAAATCCCAGAGAAAAGAGCCTCTACCCTATTATCAACCTCCTTGAAACAAGTAGAAAAGATGTTTGGATATGTCATGCTGGGGTTTAAAAGAAAGTCCAAAGGCTAGCTAGCCTTATGGAGACTTCTTTCATGCATACTCAGGTGTGGAGTCTTGGGCTTTCAGCAGAGGCAGCCCAGAAAGACTGAGATATAGTTAACACCCGCATGACCTGTGACTGCTTAAAGGCCAAAGTTGTGCTCATGTTATTTCTGCTTCTGTAGATAGACATGACCCTTGGGGTTGTTCAGCTTCTCTCAAATAATGATGCTTTGAGAAATCACGAGAACCCTAACAATGGATGCGAAGTGGTGAGAGAAATAAATAGATTTTATTTTGTGGGTGGATTGTTGAAGGTGTTTTAAAGGGGGGGTAATTTAGTGGGCCAAGAACATGACCAGCATTCATCCTGAAAAGCATAGGAAAGCATTTTGGGGAAATGAAAAAGAATGAATCACAGCATAATACAAAGTCAGTTGGGAGAACCACTTTGGCCATTCTATTTGAGATGTGGGGTGCATAGACATGGGGGGTGATAATGTGAAAGTCTCCGACAGTGAAGGTGAAAAGTTGACTTGGAAAGAATCTTTCCACATCAAAGAAAGCAATAGCCTTATAGTTTATGGGAAAAAACATCAAAGGTTATTTATTAAGCAGAGAAAGGAATAATGAGAACTAGAGCATCATTGCTATTCTATTTTCTCCAGGTCTGTGTTTTTAGGACATCACTGATGACTGCTATGTATAAAAACTACCTTAAATAGAACAACTGAGAAGTTGGGTGGTGTAGAGAGACTTTGAGAATTTTGGACCCAAAAAGGGGACTGATCTCAAAATGAGGAATGTACTTTGTATTGGAGATGGAGGATGCGTTCATGGCTTTGGGTTACAATTCACACTGATGTAAAAGAAGTCAGTAGCACCAGAATGAAGGCAGAGTCCTGAGGACTGTGTCTCAACAACCAGACTGAGTAGGCCAGCCCAAACAGACGCTCCATTGGGTTCCAAATTTAGCTTCCAGGAAGCCAGTGTCTCTTAGACTCTTTCAGGGAGCCTTCTGTCACATGGCTCACCAGGGCAACTATGGAAAGCTGTTCTGATAAGCTGACACATTAAGACAAGGCACTCTTCCTCAAGTTTGGTCATATTGGGTGCCTTGTTATTGCCCCTTGGAAAAGGACGCAGTCACATTTACCCAGAAGCCCTGATGATGTGAGCAGAAGCAGGCTGAAGTCAAAGAGCCACACGAGACACGGGTTCAGGTGACCAGCAGCTAGGCTTGCCATACTGGGAGATTTGCGAAGACAATCATTTGAGGACTGAAGAAGCAGGATGCTTATGATAGGCAATAAGAACATAGGCAGGAAGAACATAGGCATGCCAGAATTATAATAAAGTAAAATGTCCAACACTTGAGAAGAAAAAATAAGAGTTTCCCATCTGTTAAGTGTTAGGTCATATATAATAGGCATTTTACACATGTATTCAATACACCCATGCCATTATAATGCAAAAAAATGTTTAGTTTTAAGCTGGAGAGATGGTTTCAGTAAGTGTGAATTCTGGCTGCATGAGCATGAACTAGTTAATTCAAATCCCCAGCTCTCCCGTTAAAAAGAAAGCTGGGTGTGGCCACATGCATGCATGACTGTAAACCTAATGCTATACGGGGCAGAAACAGATAGCTGCTGCCTCTTGCTAACTGCCGCTTTTTGCCACTCTTGGTGAAAGACCCTGTTTCAAAGCAATAAAATGGACAGTGGCAGAATAGGATACATAATGTTCTTCTCTAGCCTCTGTGTAAAGACACTAATGCATACAGTACATGCAATGTATATGCACACACACACACACACACACACACAAGAATGTTTAGTTTAAGTATTTTCATAGCAATGTCAACTGCTGACTAAATGCTTTTGAAAAGGAAGAGGTTGTTTCCCAACACACTTTGCCACATCAGAGCTATGATAATGATCAAAATAAAAGACAAACAACAAGAAAAGTAACATGTCTCTGCCATTTGTTTCGAAAGCAGGGGGTTAATTTAGTTCATCTCCTTTCTTTTTCTTTTTAAATACCACCCTCCAATCTAGTTAAACTGTGTTTGATGGTTAACATCCATTATAAAAAACCTGAACTAGAAAGTGATTATAAATAGAAAATAATATCCTTAGACAGTCAAAGGCATTTTCAAGAGTATCTTGTGAGACCATTTAATGACAACAAAGAATAGGGTGATAAGCTCAGAAAACTCAATAGAATGACTACAATTTTCTTTGTAAACTTTCCAAAGTTTATCAAAGTATTAAACAAATTTGTTGTTGTTGTTGGGCAGGTTGAAAGCTAGCTCACCTATCATTTGTACTAGTTCATTCATTAGGGCAACATGGAGTAGGTCATCAACATCCTTATGGAAAAGCCAGGGGTATAGCCAAGGGAATTAACAGGAGGCAGAGGCAGAGGGGTGCTTCCATAAGATGCTGCTCTTTCTTCTAGCAAAAGTTCATCCTCAAAGAGCTGCAGATTTTAATCATGTCACACTAAGAACTCCAAATAGATCAAACTGGTGTTTGGTCATGATGTAAACTTGGAGGCCAATATCTTTTCAATGATCATGCAATCACCACCCTGTAATTTCTGCATCTGAGACTGTGGTATAGAGTGAAGTAGAAGAGAATAAAGAGAAAATTTGGACAGGATAGATATTTCCACTCATTAGATGGTAGGTGTATAACTAATTTTCAAACCTGGATAGATTTGAAATTGTTTCCTGTTCAGAATCATACCAAGACAACGGGAGTAAGTCGGAAGTATGCCAGCCAAGTGTCAACTTAGACTAAGATTTCCAAATTGAATGCAGTGCAGTTCTTTAGTTTTCAAATATGTTCTGTAACTATGCATAACAAAAAAGTATGGCTAGATTCTGCAAAGCAAACGTTCTCTGTTCTCTGCCCTTATGTGTGCTTATGAGGGTATTGGATGGTACATAGAGCCTGTATCTGTAGTCTTATCAGAAACAAAAATTCACGATTTCAAAGAAATGCATTAAAATAAGTGTGAAATAAGTGACTAAAACGAGTCCTAGGATGGCACGTAGAGAGATTTCTACTTTTTAAGGTGGGGTTAGTTACAGGAGACAGTGGTCTATAAGAAACCCAGTAACTCATGCACCAGGGGCATCTAATCTGTTTAGAAATAACTGATTGAGCCATAAGTCACTAACCATGAAGGAAAAAATGAAATACATTATGGTGAGTCTAACTCATGTCTGCTTTGACCCTTTCCCTATATGTTTTGCTTAAGCCAGTTTAAGCTTTGAGCACTTCCGTTATAATTCGAGTGCATGCTCTTAACAAAGGAATTAAGGACAGTCATGTAGCATCAACACCAAGAATCGTTATGGAGTTTGCCTTCAACATGGCAAAAAATAGCCATTTGGACAAGAAACTGCCCTTGCCTGAACTGCTTGGCAGCATTCTGTCCAAACTGGACAAGCAGGTTACAAAGAAAAGTGACTGCTAAACTTGCCAAGGGACAGTACAGTCCTCAGAAAATCTTGCTTCACAGAAAAGTCTGTCAGAGATGCTAGGCCTATAGGCCAAAAGCGGATGTCCCAATGTTAAAGAGGAATCTTGAGTGACTGTCCAGGCAATGAGATGTCTCTGTCAATTGTAGAGCTTATATATTATCCTTCCGTGGTCTTTGATGGAGTTGAAGACAGATAGTTATGGTTTCCTTAATTATGATAAATATATGTTACATATAAAACTGTAGATTCACAAAGATAGGATAGATAATGAAATATTTTCTTTAAATTTTGCCAAATGCTAGTAAATATTGTTAACTATAGTTCTTGCTTGATGACTGTTTTGATATCTATAATTTTACTATGTTAAAGTTAAAACCTTCCTTTTTCTTTAGGCAGAAAAGAGGAGATGATGGGGGATGTCCTTCTCAGTGCTGTGAATATGTTTCTCTTATTGGTTGGTGAATAAATGCTGACTGGCTATTAGCCAGGCAGGAAGTATTGGTGGGGCTACCAGACTAGGAGAATTCTGGGAAGAGGGAAGGCAGAGAGTGGGTCTCTGGTGAGATGCCATGTAGCTGCCAAAGAAGTAACATGCTGGAGCATTATGCGTAAGCTACAGCCTCATGGCAATATATATTTTAGTTGCAATGGGTTCATAATTAAGAAAGAGCTAGTCAGTAAAAAGCCAGAGTCATCGGCCAAACAGTTTGTAGTTAACATAAACCTCTGTGTATTTCTATGGTTCTAAAGGGCTGCATGACCAGGTAGGACAGGAAACTCTGTTTACACTTATGTGTTCATCTTTGGGTGCCTGTGATGAGCCCAGGGTCTCCTGCCTACTCTACCACTAAGCTCAACTCTGAGCCCTAAAGGAACTGCTTTTTGGGGCCACCTTTTGTTGTGACTGTCAATACTGATAGTGTTCTTCAACATTGGACACATCTTTCCAAATCTAGTAATTGGAGGGCAGAGACAGGCAAATCCTAGGGCCTTAATGGCTAGCCTGCCCAATCATGTACACACACATACACACGTACATACAAAAATAAATAAGTGTGTAAATAATTTTTAAAATATTTCATGAATCCTAGAATATAAAGGCCACTTTTGGGCTCATCAAGAATGTGTACCTATATATATTTCTGCATTAAACACACTGAAATCATTTTCTGGAGTTCAATTTATATATGTTGCACTTATATTGAATATGTATGCAAATAAACAGAAAGTTTGAAGGTAACAGTAATGAAATAAATCCATTTGTGCATATGTAATCATGCTATATATATTCAGTATTGCTGTAGGCATTTACTAGATCATATTTTCCTTGTTTCTGTCATTATACATAGTATAGTTCCATGTCTACATGTGTAAATTAGTTGCATCCTTTCAATGATTATTTAGTGTATGTTGCTGCACCTTGTTCCCTGTGCACAAGACATTCCAGGTTGCTTCCCACATCAGTTTTCAGACGATGCCTCGTCTCACACGTCTTTCACAGATTAAGAACTCTCATGGGAAAGATTCCCAGTTGTGAAGACAACAGGGTGGTCACATTATATAGAGACAAACACTGCATATTTATAGAGTCTTCTGCATCCTGAGAAAACTCAGCTCAGAGGCAAAGAATTGAGTCAAGAGAAAGCAGAGCCCTGTGCTCATGTTGTGGGTCCATTGCCCTTTGTTATGGTGGAAGTCACTCTTCATTGCCACAACAACAGAAAATAAACTTCAGGACACAGAAGCAATTATATTCATCTAGAAGGTGAAGTAAGAAAGCATGAGAAAGTTAACCAGGAGAATAATTTCACTTAGGTATCATTTAAGGCATTTATAATAGGCATGCACATTTATTTTAAATTAGATTTTAGAAAATAATACACAAGGAAAGTATCTTTTCAGTTAAAAAAAAGCACAAGGCTTCATTCATCCAGAGAGAATAAGGGTGTTTTAAAATAAAGTTCCAGACAGGTGAAGTGTCTCACATCTGTAATCTGAGTATTCTGGAAACTGAGATGGGAGGATTGCTATAAAGCTCAAGTCTAGCCTGGGCTGCATAGTGAAAACCTGTCTCAGAGGTCTGAAAACAGGAATAAAAACATCAGTTGATGAGGCAGTTGATTCCAAAAAAAATGTAGGGTATGGGAAACACCACACCAAGAAACCAAACAGGCGAAAACGAAAAAGAAATTGCCTCTCAACCTCAGTCTTGACTGTGCTTCATTCAAATCAACAGAATTATTGCAAATTGGGGTAGTTATATAAAAGTCAAACAAGGAGGTATTGAGAGTCAATCTTAGTGTTGTTAAATTAATTTAGGAACTTCCTTCTCTATTTCCCCTACTTCTGCTTTATATGTTCGGCTCCCTTCTCTCCTAATTTACATCCTGGACTGATGTTATTTTTACCCTTCTGGGTAAGAGATTCAAAAATAAAAACCTAAAAGTTATTTGTTCCCTGACAATTTGTATAGCATAACGTGCTACCAATCGCATACACCTTGGTTATGAGCTGGGATGTTGTTTGTCTAGATTCTTATCATAAATTAACATAATTAGTTAGCATAAATAATTTAGGGATATTGTGTGTGTGTGTGTGTGTGTGTGAGAGAGAGAGAGAGAGAAACAGAAAATAATCTTCACTGAAACATTTGAGGTTTTCTCCATTATAACCATAGAATGGAGATTATACTATAAACACTGTACAATCTTCTTTAATGTTTTATTTTTTAACTGAGAAATGGATAATTCCCACTAAAAGGGGATATTAAGATATCAGGATATCTGAATCCAAGTCAGGTCCTCAGCTAAACCTCACTAACTAGTACATTCATGTGTTAGGACTTTCTAATACTGGGCTTACACTGAACCACTTCCTCCACATTTAAAATTCCCATTGTCTCACCATCCAATCCCCTCAGCAGAGGTCAGCTGTCAAGGGAATATACATCAAGGGCATAACCAGATCCAGAATGAGATGTTACTAGTGTATTGACCGACACTAAAATAAACTTGCCTCTAAAAACAAGCAAGAAGACATTATAAAACTGCAGGTCCCGATCCAGAGGAATGAAGGTAGGTTTCAGCCAGCTTTTGCTTGTTCCTGGGAGGTGTGGTGGTTATCTTTCCAAGTGCAGTATTATGCTGTGTAACATTGCCCTTTCTGATTCTCATTTTTCCATTGTCTAATTTAGAGTGACTCAAGGACAACACGTATTTCCATATTGATTTTATTGATCTTATTCAGGGCATGTCTCAGGCCCTTGCACTCTTAAGCTTTGGTCATGTAACATGTATGAAACAAATTAAAAATCCACCCTTAAAATCCATGTCGAATATAATATATGCCAAAATTTTGAGAGGAGACTTGCAGTTGATTACCTCATACAATGTTATTTTCCTAATATTTTTTAATTAAGCATTTATTGATTTCCACTTTGAACCTTTATTTTTTGGTTTGAAGACAATATTTCTTTTTTCCATGTTTTAATAATTTTTTTTGTTAATGAGCTCAACTGGTGAATTTTTTTTATTTTCCAGTTTAAATTTAGATAAGAAACAAGGTTGCTTCACAAGTCAGTTCCAGGTCCCTCTCCCTTTCCCTCCCCTCCTCCCGTGCCCTCCCCCAACCCCCCCCGTTATCACCTCATTCCCCCAGGGAGGGTGAGGCCCTCCATGGGGGTGTCCATAGTCTGTCATTTCATATAGGACAGGGCCTAGACCCTTCCCCAAGAGTTCAGGGTGAGAGTGCACCTCACATTGTTCTATGGGAGTCCAAAGTCCGTGTGTATACTTGGGATGGGTACTGATCTGCTGCCCAAGGCTCAATAGATTCCCTAGGCCTCCTCACTGACACCCAGATTCAGGGGGTCTTGATCAGTCCCATGCTGGATTCCCAGGCTGATGCCTGGGATTCAAGAGTTGACCTTTGTCTGGTCAGCTGTTTCTGGGGGTTAAACCAGCCCAGTCTTAATCCCTTTGATCATCAGTCCTCCCTCTCTGATACTGGCTTTCTTGAGTTCAGCTCAGTGCTTAGCCATGGGAGTCTGCCTCTTCTATCATCAGCCACTGAATGAAGTTTCTGTTTCCCAGACTCTCTGGCCATAGGATTGTAGGCTGGCACTCCCCAGATCTATGTCTAAAATCCATATATGAGAGAGTACATGCCATGTTTCTCTTTTAGTGACTGGGTTACCTCACTCAGGATGGTTTCTTCTAGTGTCATCCATTTGCCTGGGAATCTCATGATTCCATTGTTTTTTTCTACTGAATAGTACTCCATTGTGTAAATGTACCACATTTTCTCTATCCACTCTTCGGTTGAGGGACATCTAGGTTGCTTCCAAGTTCTGGCTATTACAAATAGAGCTGCTATGAACATAGTGGAACAGACATCTTTGTTGTATGAATGGGCATCTTTTGGATATATGCCTAAGAGTGGAGTTGCTGGGTCTTGTGGCAGGTTTATTCCCATTTTTCTGAGGAATCTCCATACTGATTTCCAAAGTGGCTGAACCAGTTGGCACTCCCACCAGCAATGGAGGAGTGTCCCCCTTTCACCACATTCTCTCCAGTATAAATTGTCATTGGTGTTTTTGATTTTAGCCATTCTGACAGGAGTGAGATGGTATCTCAGAGTTGTTTTGATTTGCATTTCCCGGATGGCTAAGGATGTTGAGCACTTTCTCAAGTGCCTCTCAGCCATTTTAGACTCCTAATTTTTGTAGACCTTAAAAAATCTCACAGCTCATTGGCATTGTTCTGTAATGACTAGTGGGTAAAGAGGCCTTGATAGTATTATTTTAATAGAAGAGTATGTTTTAAAACTCCTAAAAACAGACATTTAAAATGAATTGCTTTTCCAATAAATGCAAGAATATTTTGTGTCACCAACTGATTTCCTAAATTTTCTATCTCTTTTAATTTCTTAATTTTTGAAAAAAATTTCTATAATATGTCTTCATAGATGATTCTCTTATTTTCACGTTTGATATTTCAAGGTTCATGTTAAGAACTTCATCTTCAAAGGCAATATCTACAGTCTGTTGCTCACTGCCCACTTTCCATGAGATCACCCCTTTCAAATTTGAAGGCCAAGCATCCAGTTTCCAAAGCCTTTTGCTGGATAGCAATGATATCACCTCTTCAGTACAGTAAGTCACATGTGCCATGATGATGCACTCTGGGAAATGACACATCAAGCAGCCGCGGTGTGCTCTGAAAAGAAATGGCACTCTAAAGAAAGAAACCCAAGCAAATCCTTCCGAAAACAGGAGCACCTTCAGTTCATGGAGTTCGGCATTGGTCATATCCTTCATGGCTGGCAAGCATTTTGGTGAAGTCTAAAAACTCTTCTCTGGTTAGGTGGAAATGTCTTCCATGTGCATTCTTGGTCAGCCTCCATCTCTCCACTGAAGGAACAAAAATGATGGTTTTCCTAAGTGAGCCTGTCCCATGAGTCTGTTTGTCAACTGGATGCAAATCGCCTCCACATTTTCTCAGGCATGAGAAGAGAAAGCAGCCAATGTAAGCCACACTGCAAGGAGAGACCGGTTCTGTCTATGCCAGCCCACAGTGGCAGGTCAGAAAGAATTCTGTGCTCACATATAGGAAACAGATATTTCCATATTTAACTGACAATGCTTTTGATAATTCTACAATGGACCAAAAAGGCTTGAAGAAAATATTAAAGACAGTTTTATTTATCATGTTTACCTCATATTGAAGGCAGACAAGAATGGAGGTTCTTACCATATGCATTGCCTTTTGGAAAAAAGATTTCTGGTTTGCAACTTGATGGACCTTAGTCTGGAATTGACTATGAAGTCAGGTCTCTCTCACTTTGAAAATGTGAATATATTAGTGCAGTACAAAGCTCTGGTCACAGTGTCTACTTTCAGAAGATGGCATTGAATTTCCAGGGGCAGGAATGTTCTGGAATGTTGTCAAAGGAGGAAAAAACAGTGTCCTCCCCACACATTTAGAAAAATAAAGGTTCGGAGAACATGGCGTACTACTTATTAAAGGTTTTGCAAAACACCACACCTCAGCAAACATTCCTGAGAAGCGAAGGAAACACTGGTCACTGCTGCACCTCGGTGTCTTCAGTTCTGGTTTTAGTGAAAGGGACAATAGCACGGAACCAAGGCCAGCACTGGAGGAAAGAACCCAGGCCACAGTGGCAAATCTTTAAACGAGCCCACAGTCCTGTTTCAAGCCCTTGGTGTGGGTCTGTCATTCTAAGCGATATTTGGGGCTTCGTGGTGACTCTGGTGGGTAACCAAGTCTGTCCCTGAAGTTGACACTTAGCAACTTCCTTTTTCTTCACCCCCACTGCGCCTGATTGGGTTCGCTGGGTTCACTCTGCATGGGTCAACCCAAGTCTAGCTGCCCCTCAGGCCAGCTCATTTCCTGGGTTCGCTGGGTTCACTCTGCATGGGTCAACCCAAGTCTAGCTGCCCCTCAGGCCAGCTCATTTCCTGGGTTCGCTGGGTTCACTCTGCATGGGTCAACCCAAGTCTAGCTGCCCCTCAGGCCAGATCATTTCCTGTCTCCCTTAGAAGGTTTGAAGAAACTGATGTTGCCAGTCTCAGTAGGGACCAAAGAAAATTCAATATTCCGCTTATGATGGAATAGCTTGTCCACTGGTGTGCCCTACACCCAAAGCAATTTCTTGAGGGTGTGCAAAGCATTGCTTTAAGGTGGTCAGCCATGCTGCAGACCACCGAAAGACAACAGAGTCATGTTCATTACCCTCAGAGGGAAGAATTCATGAAGAAGCAGCTTGTTTGGAGGTAAGCTGCCACAGTCCTTTAAAAGAAACAGCAAATAAATAAGAAAAAAATTAACTTAAAAAAACAAATAAAAATGAGCCAAATATATACTGCTTCAGACTCCCAGGCCATAGTCATAGGGCACCTGCCTTGCGTACATCGGTAACCTTACCTATACTTACCCAGCCAATTCTGAAGAAGAAAGTCCAGCTAGAAAACACAATTGTGTGGATAGAAACAAACATTTTTCAGGTTTGAAGTAGATTACAAATCATTGGAAGAAAATCCCACATGTTAAAGTTTGAGATGCTTTTCTTTCCTGTGCATGAATATTCATTCTCAAAGAGGCCCCTTTGAGATTCAGGATTCTGCTTCTGAACAAGGTGCCACCATGATTCTCTGCATCCCTGAATGGGCTGCCTTATGCCATGGTCCTGCTCGTCAAGCCTCCGTAGAAGACTTTGAGCAGTCACCTGTAATCACGGTGTACTAGGGGCTGTGGCAACCTTTCTGAATCGGTCAGCCTGCCTTCCCTTTCTGCCAATTTCCTACCTTTTTTGTCTCAGTTCTAAATGGTGGTATTGCATCCTTACCAACCCTCTACCAGCATGGTTTTAAAATATGTCTTTTGAGTCATAAAACACATAAATTGTAACTGTATTGTCTAATGAGATATCACAAAGCATAAAACCTCAGGTCATTCACCCTTTTAATAAAATCTTATCAGTATCCCAAAATTCCCCACTGTCTTTGTGTCTGTGGGGGCAGAGAGTGAGTGTGTGAGTGCAAATGAGTTGTGTGTGTATAAGTATGTGAATGTGCACGAATGAGTGACAATATGAGTGTGGGTGAGACTGGGTGTGAATGTTCATGAGTGTGAGTGTCGGAGTATGTGGGTCAGTGTGAGACTGAGAGGAAATGAAAGCATGTGTGTGAGTATAATGATATGGGTGTACATACGAGGGTATGTGAGAGTATGTGAATGTGTTTGAATGTGACTGAATATGCCTGGTTTTAGTGTGTGTGTGTGTGTGTGTGTGTGTGTGTGTGTGCATGTGAGTGCCTATGTGTGAGTGCTTGTGAGTGTATGTGAGTGAAAGTATGACTGGGGCTGGAGAGATGGCTCAGTGATTAAGAGCACTGACTGCTCTTTCAGAGGACCTGAGTTCAGTTCCCAGCAACCACATGGTACCTCACAACCATCTATAATGGAATCTGATGCCCTCTTCTGGCATGTAAGTGCACATGCAGACTAAGCATTCAAACATAAAAAACACATAAATAAATACATTTAATAATTTACACAATAGTAATAATAAATAAAACAAATGTTAAACTGTTGATGAGTCAGACAAGTAAAGAAATAAAGAGGACCACTTTTTCTGGGGTTCATAGATAAATATACATAAATATGCACTCATACATTTAAAAGTACAAACATAAATAAATTTAAAAGAAAGTGTGGCTGTATATGTGTGTCTGTGAGTGTGTTAGTGTGTGGGTGCGTGACTGTGGGAGTGAATGTGGATGCTCTTATATGAATGCGAGTGTGAATTTGCACAAGCGCGTGCACTGAGTGTTTTAGTAACTGTGTTGGCAAGTATGCGAGAGTGTGAGTGTGTTGATGGCGGTGAGCGTGAGACTGTAAGACCATGTTAGAATGAGGATAGTTGCCTGTGTACGTTTGAAGGTGTGGGTGTAGTGTACAATGGTACAATGGTGTGTTTGTGTGTGAGTGTACAAGGTAAGCCATCTCCTAAGCTCCCTGGAACTACCTTTTACTAGCACAGATGAGCTTACCTTTCTTCATTTTACACAGTAATTCCACGTGACTCCTTCTGTTTAGCAGCATATGGGATTCAACACGCCACAGTGTGCCAATAGTTCATCCATTGTAAAAGATTAAACTTCTAAGATGCTCTAAAGAAGCTTGGGGACGGTGGTCCACTTTATTTCTCCACTCGTTTGACTCACTGACAGTCTTACAACTTTAAGCTTTATTTAGTATTATCGTGTGTGTGTGTGTGTGTGTGTGTGTGTGTGTGTGTGTATCTGAATGTGAGTCAACACACATACTCAAGTCACCAGGCTATTGTGACAAACCCTTTCCCTGCTGGGCTAGCTCTCTGACTCTTCCTCATTTATGTTCTATCAAAATAATCCAACGGCTTGCCATTGTCAGAGGATAATGTCCAACCTTAAAAAATAAAAGATCGTTTTTTAAAAATATATATGTATGTGTGTGATCCCACGTGACTACTCGGCACCAAAGGTATCTGATCTCTGAGACTGGAGTGAATTCCAGGAAACTAACCCATGTCCTCTGCAATAGCTGTAAGTGCTCTTAACTGCTGAACCATCTCTAAAATTTGTATCATGGTATGAACATTCATTTCACTTCTGTGCATACAAAAGAGATAGATATTTGTATGTTTCTTGGTTATTCAGATAGCTATTTTCATAAAATACTGATGGGCATCTTATGGACATTAAAAATTATACTGTTCTATATTTTTTGACTTACAAGCTAAATTTATTTTTCACTAAATGCAGTGTTATTTTTGCCCCTTGAATGATCTCTTCTCATTGCCTACAAATCCGCCCGACCCAGTGTGCATCCTTTTGTCACCGAATAGCTTATCAGATAGTTGTACACTCATTGCTGTGACTGTCCGCCCTTGCCTTAGGACCTTCATCCCATTCCTTTTCAAGCTGGCCAACCCTGTGAAAATATGTAATCATATATAAATATATATGATTTAGTTCTTCTTTCCTTCCAGAATCTTTCTGAATCTCTACCCTTAGGATCACTTTTCTGCTCCTCATTTCCATCTTGGAGTTGACTTCGCTCTCTCAAAGCTTGCCTTCCTTCCTTCCTTCCTTCCTTCCTTCCTTCCTTCCTTCCTTCCTTCCTTCTTTCCTTCTTTCTTTCTTTCTTTCTTTTCTTTCTTTCTTTCTTTCTTTCTTTCTTGGTCTGCTCCATTTGTATGTCCCTTTCAAACCATGTCACATAATTTCTCATTCATGTGAAGTATATGAATCACCCAACATTGACAGCAGCCTTCAAGCTAAACAACTATTTCCCCAGATACACACCACTCAAGGTCATGTTGGTCTATTAGCAGCAGCTGTTTCCAAGTTTGTTCCACAGCAATTTGAATGATATTGTCAATGACATAGGGACACTGTTAGTATTCAGGTACCTGTACTGGCCTGTCCTTGGGGTTCTGACAGAATATGCCTTCAGCTGCAGCCACTAAGAGCACCACCTGTGCACATTCATTGTGTTCACTTTTAAAGGGCCCTGCCCACCTTCCCACCTCTCTCTCTCTCTCTCTCTCTCTCTGTTTGTGTTTGTGTTCTGTCTCCCTCTCTCCCTCTCCCTCTGTCTGTTCCTCTCTCTTCCTCCCCCATCTCCCTCTGTCTGCCCCTCTTTCCTTTCTCTTCTCTCCTGCTGCTCCTGTCTCTGGAGGCCAGTCTCCCCACTTCCCTTTCCCCTTTTGAGGATCCCTTTCCCTAATAATAAAAACCCCTTTGCTTGAACCCTGTCATATGGCATCTTTCTCTTGTGTGCCACTTTTTCTTAAATTATAACAGAGATTTTATGCTAAAGGTTTCTGGGCTTCCAAAAATGTATGGAAGCCCAGATGGAATTTTCTCCTTTGGAAACGACTCCCACTTTTCAATCTTCTCATGGGATTTTCATCTTAGACCTACACAATCCAGCCGGAGGCAGCTATCCTTCCCAAAGAGTGTGGGCTGTTGTGCAAGCAGAAGCTCTTCTTCAGAAAGGCACTGGCATTTTCTTGCTTTGAATACTTGGGTATGTGGGGGAAATACTTTAAACAGTTCTTTAAGTTTTAGGGTTTATGTCTCTGTGTCTGTGTGAGTATATGAACATGAGTGCAGGTGCCTGTGGAGGTCAGAACAGGGTCTCAGGAGCTGGAGTTACAGTCGAGTGTGAACTGCCCAGTATGGATGCTAAGAATTCTACCAGGGTCCCCTGGAAGTGCAGCAAGGGCTCTTATCCATGGAGCCATTTCTCTGGCCACACCAAACAATGTGTTTCTTTGTAGATAGAGTCTCATTATAGAACCTAGGCTGGCCTTACACTCGCTCTCTTCCTTCCTGCCTCACCCTCTAAGTGACTGGACCACAGGACCCTGCCTTGGTAATTAGTGTACTTTTGAATGCAAATGATAACCAACTTAGTTTCACACTCTTCCCACGTCTAAATGGCATCTACATGCTAAAGTGCCACTCTAAGTCATGCAGCCTATAAATACAATATTTTATCAGTGCTGGTGAGCTGAACTGAAATCCTACAGAGGAGAGAGAAAAATCTTGTTGATTACCTTGGCATCAAAGAAAGTGTGATCTAATTCCTTCTGTGGTCACATCTATCAGCATAAGAGTATACCCATATCCTGTAACAATCTGTGCATATACACTGAGGAAGCAATGCATTGGGGCGCAGCAAGAAGCAATTGTTTCTTGTTGTCTGACTGGATTCTTCCCTCCTCCCCCACCCCCAGAGTGCCTCATTGGAATGTTTGCTTCGGAATGGTTGTTCTGCTTAAATGAGGAGAGACTTCCAGGTAAAACATTTAATTAGTTCCCAATTTAGACAGCCAGACTGATCAGTCGGGCTGTGTTCTGGAACCTGAGTTTGTACATTCCTTGGGACTGGTAAGTGAGGTTTGCCCAACGGATGTGGTCAACTGTGAATAGTTCGTATGCTGTACACACCAGAGACAGATGTTTCTCCAGCTCCATGGAGCTAGAAAGGGACTAGGGAAATGTGAGTGAGTACTTAGTGCCTCTCTGTCTCTGCACAAGCACTAGTAAAGGTGATGTGGCTTTAAAAGTCAGAAACCAAGAATGATACATGGAACTGAAGTGCATAGAAGGCAGACTTAAGTAAAAAAATTCTCAATTTCAAGTTAATCATGATAGAGGCTGTGACCTTAGACACACTGCATAGTCACAATACATGTTTTAGTTAATACTGTGCAAATAAATTGCTATGCTAAACTGTGTATATCTATGTTGTGTCTCTGAAAAAAAATCCAGTCTTAAATCAAACTGAACTTCTGATTTATTTCCATTTCGTGAATCAAACCTCCTTTATTTACTTGTACATGATAGGAATTTCTTGCCCAAATTCTATACTGTAGCTAGAAAGTAGTCTGATGAGTTTATGGCACTTTTCTATGGAAGGCTGCCAAAATTCCTTCAGCCAGAGGCCCTCAAGGAACATGGATACTGACTGATTCTTTCCGTGAAAGTCTGTCTCCTTCAGAGAACTACAACTTTACCTGCAAGTTCTCTAGTCCTCACATCCAAAAAGTGTATAGGTACCACTGTTGTCCATGCCACTTGTCACAACCATATCCTTTCAGCTTTTCACTATACCCTTCATTTACCCAAGATGCCCTCCCTCCACACTCATCTAATGACAGCGTAAGTGTTATTTCTTTCCAAAGTCATCACTAAAGTTTCAGTTGGACTAATGGCCTTTCATCTAAGTTCCCTATATACATAGTGCGTGGTATAGCAGACTCCATGAACACCTACTACTGCAGCCTATGCAATCATATTCACTGTGTCTCAGCTTATGAGACAAGCGCACAGGAGATAAGAGACTCTGCTCATTCATATGAGTCATATTTATATTCTCGGGGTCCAGCCAGAACCCCACACAGAATGCCAAAGTAACAAAAACAAAAACATTCAA